AAGCATTGTTAATTTCCTACCACTTTGTTTGTAACTCTGTACTGTCTGTACTGTTCTTTTGCTATTTTGTAAAAGGTTGTCTGTCTGTTAATGTGTTCCTCCTTTTATTTTTAAAATAAAAAAAAATACAGTGCTACTACTAGGAGATACAATTGAATGTAAACGGGTTTTCTCTTTCTGGGAGAAAAAGCTCTAAATTTTCTAAGTTTTAAGTTTTTTAAGTTTTAAAAGCAATCATTTGATTTTATAATGATAAATGTCTAACACATGCTATATTTTTAAAAGACCACATAGCCAGGTGTGGTGACAAACACCTGTAATCCCGGGGGCTGAGGTAGGATGATCACAGGTTCAAGACTACTCTGGGCAACTTAGCAACATCCTGTCTCTAAATAAAAAATAAAAAGGCCTGGGGGTATGAGTTCAATCTCTAGTACTAAATAAAATAATAAAATAAAATATCCACATGATGCTGGGAGGCTTTCCGCAGAGAGGGACACCTATACTACAACAAGACCCACCTCTACCCTTGTCCCTGATTGAGGAAGAAATGTGTTTTAATATGCTCAGCCCAATGATCTGGGCCATCTCAGCCCTTTAATATGCTCAGAACATTTTGCAAAGGCTGAAGAACCTGGCAGGCTGGTCTTAGGCAGGGTTGTGATGGATACAATACAACCTCAGAACACAATGTGCAAACTGCATTTACCTGGATCTATGTAAGCCATTAGGAAAAAAAAAAAAACAAAACCTGTTCCTAACTGATGCTTCTAGTATTTAGACTTCCAGAAAGCTCCCCGCAAGAGCGGGGGGAGCAGATATTTTCATAAGAGCACGTGAAGAGAAAAAAAAGGAAAAGCACTGCACAGGTCTGTACAAAGCGCCCGTGTGATTCCTGCAATAGTGGAATGAAATGTTGACCTGAAGCAGTGAATGCGTATGATAGTCTCAGCTGGTCTCTGAATAATTTCATAAGGCACACATGGTATTTCAGAAATACCATAGGATTTAAGACTTTGCTTATTATATCCACAGAACAGTTGAACCAAATGGAATTTAAGGCTGCTCATATAAAGGGAAATACAAATATTACAGTAAAGTATAAGACTAGGCATTTAGAAGACAGACTTATAGCCCAATATACCTACTTCTTATGTAATCACAGGAAAGTGCTCTGAGTGGCCTTGAACTAACCCCATTCTCCTTCCTTCCTGTCTGCAGTTCTTAAAAATAACCATAAAATGTGCTGGAAATGCCATATCTGGGGACAAGGAGGAGCTGCCTAAAGTGCTCCAGCCCTTGTTTTTGCTCCTCTTGCGAATGGCACACCCTGAGTTAGGAAAGAACTCCTCAGGATGGCCCAGACTCTGTTCCTCTCTCCTTTGAAAGCTATAGCCCAGTAAATCACATGGCTCTTGGGTCTGTAACCCCCAGCATTCTTGGGTTCCTTAGGTGCAGTGGAAGTGAGGCATGCTCTGTCTTGACTGTCTCCCTCAGGCAACTTTACCAAGCCATCCCCGCCCTCGGGCAGGTTCAGTGGCTTCTAGTCTCCTTTCGTGGATACTGGACATTCATGGATACTGGTTATTTTAAATTTTTTCTGTATATTTATACATATGTATGTGTACCTACACATATATGTATGTACGTCTGTGTTTTTGACTTTCTGTATCTATATTGTTTCCTTGATACCTCCAAACTGCAAGGAATCAATCTACTTCACATATCTGGCTGTGTATGAGCACATTCTGTCTCCCTGAACTCAGACCAGTGGTGATCAGTGCGTACTGAACTTGCTCCAAGTAATTTTGGTCAAACTGTCTTTGAACCCTCGGTTTTCTCACCAATCAAATGGAGGTAACAATATTACGGACGTGACAAGATGATCTACTGCAAATTTAGATCATGGTTTATTTTTGTCACTGCAGACCATCAGAAAGAAGTGCTTACTCACAGCCCAAGGACAAGAGGGGACCTAGAGCCAAATTTAATTTGACTTTAGAAATAATAGGTGTCACTCGCACACCAAGAATGGTAGGACAAACACAAGGACAAACACACCCTTCTTCATAGGGTTAGCATGCATATTAAATGAAACTATGGATATCATAAAGTGATGTCAATTTCCATATGATGATAGTTACTATAATTAAAAATTTCATTCACTTCACACAATGTGAAAGACCCGTCCGGAAGACCTGGGCCTCTGTCCTAGTCCCACCTCTGTGTAACAGCTGGAAATATGTCTTCCTCATGTGTAAAATGGACACATACTCTTTGCCATACCTCACTATACAAGGTTATTATGCATCTCAAAATGATATTATGAAAGGGCTCTGGAGAGAATTAGACAAGGATGATCCTAAGCAAGCCACAGACCAAAGTTGGTGCCCTGCTTTACAGTACAATTCTGTACCATAAAGAATTTTGAGCTTCAAGCTCTGAATGTGCAGGTTAAACTCATTGATTAGGTGGTTTTATTACAGAAATGATCTACATCAAAACAAAAAAAATCTGAATAAGCTAAATGTCCACCAGTAGTAGAATAAATTTATAAACACTAGACTACATACCACAAGAAAAATGAATGTACTCAGTACATATTACACATAATAAAGATAAAAAAGAACCAAAACATAAAAGACTATATATCATGACTCATTCATATAACACTAAAAACAGGCAAACTAACTTGTTCAGGGGAAACCCACATAAATAGAAAAATGATAATGAAAAACAAAGAAATGACTATCACAAGTTAAACAGGGCTTTCCTCTGATGGAGGGGATAAGATAGGAAGAGTATGATCAGAGAAATTCCCATGAGGGACATTCATGGATACTGGTTATTTTAAACATTTTGTGTATATTTATACGTATGTATGTGTACCTACACATATATGTATGTATGTCTGTTTTTGACTTTTTGTATCTATATTGTTTCCTTAAAAAAGATTTTTGAAAAAACCCAAAAATCCACTAGATTCTGCACAAATAATGCCATGTCAACAGTGCTGCTTTTTAAAAAAAAGACTTATACCAAGAGTTTACTTATATTTCAATTTTAGATATACCAAACTAAGAAATTATTCAACTGAGATTTTATTTGATGTAAAACCCTTTCAAAAAGAAAGTGTAGTCATTTAGCAGGTCATAGTGATTCAACTGACTATCTAATTGTCAATAATTACAAATTGTTTAGTTATTCCCAATAGCAAATTTAAAATTCTACCATTAAGAATAAAAAGAAGACTCAAGGTCTACAATCACCACTTGAGCATGTCCTCCATCATCAACCTGGAAGAAAAGACAAGGCCACACAGAAGACCGAGGGGCACCATGCCTTACCAGCTGGGTGCGTTTGCACTATTCTCTTAGGGTAAGTCTTGCTTCGACTTCTTGCCACATTCTGATCAGGCCGGGGAAGTTGGATAGAAAGATCTCGACTCATCTGCAAAGCTGTCCTGCCACTTGAAAATGAACATTTTTGATTAGCAAGGGCAAAAACACACAGACACAAAATTAAACAACTTCTCTTTCAGAATATCCACAAAGAAGAAACCTATACAACTCAATTGGTCATAAGCATATAGAGGGTATTTGTTGACTGTCACTGTAATATTAGCCAAGGATGTAGCATTAAATTCTGGGAGGAGTTTTATGTCAGACAGAAGGAAAAATCTTTCTGAAGGAGACACATGAAGACAGGGTTTATTAATAGTGGATTTAGGTGATTTAAGCAGAAGGTGATTTCAGCAGAGGGCTAGAAATAAAGGTTGCTGATAGCCTTGAGCTCTACAACTAAATGATAAAGAAATCGCAGTGGGCTGAAGGACACAAGGCAATGATTCTACACGATGGTCCACCGAGCACACTTACAAGGCACACTCTAAAGCACTCCCTGCAGGGCCGCTTCATGTGATTTTATCCTAAACCCCGAGACGGCACAGTCAGTCTTTTATCCTGCCCTCCTGATCTAGCAGCCCATGCACCAGGAAGATCAAGAGCACTCCTACGGCTTTCTCTGGTCTGGGCCGAACTTCTCAAGCAATTTTCCCATGAAATCATATAATTTCATTTGCTAGATTTCAGTGGACATTCATCTTACTAAAAATTTATGTCACAACTGCTGAAGCTGAGCCAGTGAGGGACCTGGCCTTCACAAAGGGGAGTCTTACTGAGGTTCAGGAGAAATGCATTTCTATACGTCTACAGTCTGTTCCACGACAAGCAGAACCACCCATGGGAGAAAACAAAGGCTTTTAATGGCCCCAAATCTGATTCATCCTACATTTATAGAATAATTATTGGTAGAGATCTTCCCAAACGAGATTAAACATAACACGAAATCAATCTCACATGTTTCTGGAAGTGCTTCCTCTCCTCACTATCCACTTTTAGTAATTTAAAACAAAAAGAGGCCTGCAACCTTCTCTAAAAGGGCTCCTCATCAAGGAGGCACTGCCTGCTACGAGGCACTGTGAGGGTAAAGGTGGTAAGCCCCGTCCGGGAGAGTAATTCATGCTCAATGGTTCACAGGAGTTGACGGGCAAGGAGCAAGACACGACAGGCTTTCTTTCACTTGACACTTCGTTACATTTTCAAAGGCAGAGAATGTAACATACATTCCTGAAAAGCTAAAAAACATTCCATAGAAAGAACAAAATTCCATTGTAATAAAGAGTTGGGAGTATGAAGGTAAGATCTACTGACATTAGACTTCTCTCTTCTCTGAAAGACTTGGGCACTGTGCACTTCCTTGCACAAAGGAAGAAATATTTGCTGTAAAAATATAACTCAATATGCGGACCACTGAAACATTTTGTAATGAGATTGTCTGGTATTATTCAATTTTCCCTCATGGTTTCTCTCAGGAATAAAAAGAAATAAGAAAAATCACAACACAAGATTAATAAGACTAAGGTCCAGAAACATAAACTGGTCTGCCACAGACCGTGCAGGACCGTGGGCTAAAACAAGCTTCCTGAGCCCCAGCTGCTCAGGGTGGCCCCGCTTGGTGGCAGGGGAGAGGGGATGGCACTCAGTCATCTGTTTTAAGGTAACGAGCCCTGCTGAAAACAGATGAGAATTGGAGGACCCCTCCAAAAAAATCATTAAAAAAAAGACAAACCTAGGGTTTAAACCCAATTCTTTACCTTCTGCCTCACTTTGAGCCTGAAGGGCTGTTGCCATTGTCACTAAGTGTCATAGGAGCGGGCTTTATGCTAGGGTTTTAAGGGGCAGAGAAATGGAAATAGAACTTTGTCGTTTCCCAACATAGAGTCCTTAGGCTCCTGTCAGCTTTTGAGGCTAGCTGCTATATGCTTGTCCGTTACTTTCTGTTACAAGGAAATAGAATACTGTAAAAGACTGTTTCTGGTAGGAAATAAAACAGGTAGAAGTATAATAAAAATAAAGAAACTGAATTTGCAGATATAAAAAAAAAACAAAAACTGCTGAAGACCCCAGAGTGAGGGAAAGGCAAAGCTATGTTTTCAGCAGGGCTCGTTTATGTTTCTGGACCTTAGTCTGATCCTCTTCTGGCAGGCCACTGTGAAGGTCAAATAAAATAGCACCTGTGAAAGCACCTGGCACTAAAGAGATTCCCATGACAGCCTCGTCTCTCTTCTGTGCTCCCTGAAGCAAATGTAAGATCCCACGAGAGCGCCTTCGATTTAGGTCCAAGGAAGAAGTCTGGGCTCCAAGGGGTGGGGGTATAAATCTCACATAACTCATCCATTATGCAAAACCAAAAATTCTCTTACAAGCAACAGGCAGGGGCAAGGTCAATTTTTAAGGGACTCAAAGGAGATAACAATGCATAACAAAATATTTAATCAGCCAAACATTTAATCAATCTCTTTTTCTGATTACTAGGCTCTGATTTAAATACACACACATACACACACACACACACACACACCAACAACAACCACAACAACGGACTTAGAATGTCGGATTTCAGCTCAACCTTTCCTCCCCAGTTTAACCTTAAGATGTGATTGTCCAGTATCATTTAGCAAACCCTAAAATGCAGGAGGGAGTGAAGAGCAGAATTCTGTCTTCCTCCACCACATACATACACACGCATAACCACAAAGTGCTCATACATAGCACATACACACAGAGACACCTACTCAGTCACATTTACACATTTACACACTGCAGCTCCTCGGGATGCTGTTCTTTCCGCCCATGCTCTAAATGCCTGTGGGATGAATGAGGAGGTCGCCTATCTCCCAGAGCTCTGCTTTCATTCCAAGATATCTCCAGACTGTCTCATAAAAAAGATAGGCACCTGATGCTGGTTCAAGGCTGGCTGTTTGCTACCTTTTGACAAGACACGGTCTACGCCTTTAATGACCATCCAGCAATCAGAGACCTAAGTTCTTCAAGGGCGTTGTAAAGTTAGAGCTTCCTACACTCAGATGTGTAGATTTGTGTTTCATTAAGATTTACTAGGCACTTAACATCAGCCACAAAATTAGAACAGATTTAGCAGAGCCTCCAATTCTGCAAAGGTTACCTTTAATTAGTTTCTTGGAAGAAATGATATTTAATATGCAAAATCCAATAACTACCTAATAATAATTCCCAGTAGCCACAACATTTGCATTTCAATAAATTTGAGAAATCAGGTATGGCTAAATCTGTGGAATTCAACTACAGCACATGTTAAACTGCATAATTATAATTTTAATAGTGTAAACACTAAGACAGATGCTTTTCAGTGGCTCCTTTCAACGATAAGGAGATAGCTTTACACATTTTTTTTACAACTCCAACAGTGTTTTATGCCACAAGAGAAAGAACAGCCCAAATACTGGCTATTAGCTTCTTAATATGAAAGTAAATAATTTTTCCTTGAATTCCTCACTATTACATCACTAAGAAAGAACCCTGAAAACTAGAAAGTCAAATATTTAAACATCAACAAATACCTTCATACAAAAACCAAGGATATCTATAATAGGATAACACAAGTTTTTTTTAATCACTAAATGAACAAACATTCCATTGAATAACATGTACAGATGAATTCTCTGAACATTCTCTGAACATTCTTACTGATTTGTCTTTCATCTCATTTAAGAATCACAAAGGGTGTTATGAAGAAAGAGGAATTCTATGTGCACCCGTGTTTATAGCAGCACAATTTGTAATAGCTAAATCATGGAAACAACCCAGATGCCCATCCACTGAGGAATGGATAAAAAAGATGTGGTATTTTTATACAATGGAGTATTACTCAGCTATAAAGAAAGATAAACTTGAGGCTTTTACAGGTAAATGGACAAAACTAGAGACAATACTCATAACTAAAATAAATCAGACCTGCATGTGTAAACACAATATTGTCTCACTAGTGTGAGAACCTGAAAGAGTGAATAAAAACTAGGAGGTACAACAGATATTGTGAAAGTTAAGGAAACTCATCAAAAGGAAAGAACAACTGGGATGAGGGAAAAGAGAAAGGAAAGAAGGGGAAAATTACGTATATATATATATACACTGGATAGCTAACATAGTTGTACTACTGACTTCTATTGCTTTATTGAAAGGAACAGTTAATGTTTAATTGATCAATCTTACATCTATATTTGTTTACCTGAGTAACCAATTTGAAGATATCAATAGGTAATACAACAACCATTGTTAATTTCCTATCACCTTGTCTGAAATTCTGTATTACTTGTATTGTTTTTGTGTTACTTTGTAAATATGTGTGTTTGTTAATATGTTTTCATTCTTTTATCTTTAAAATAAAAGAAAGAGGAATTCAAATCTGGCACACTGCTAACCTGTATATGCTTGGTTCAGATTTTAAATCTCCTATGGAAGCATTTTGCTCAGTGATGTCTCCAATGGAATAGACAAACCAGCGTCCCTTCCACCAGTGGCATTTCTGCACCCTGCTTGCTTTTACAAGGCCTGAGGACCTGTCTCACAGCCTGAATGACGCTGTGGCTCTTTGAAGACGGAGGTGGCTAGAGCTCACTCTTTGTGTCTCTGGGCCCCTAACACCAGGCCTTGCACATCACATGTCTCTCACTGAACAGAATGAATTGAAACAAAAATTCTTCTTCTCAAAATATAGCACTCACTCCTACTTTTGATAGAAACAGACACAAGCATCTGCCCAACTATGTGATAACCAGGTTTTTTTCCCCAAACAGCTAATTGTCTGAGGGCTAAAAATATAGGCTGCTGCATTAGACCATAAGAGTATCAATTCTACTTCACTGCTTCATAGCTAGTTACCTTGAAGTGACTTGGGATCTCTGAGCCTCAGTTTGCTCATGTATTAATGGACATAATGTTACAGAAGAATATGAGGAATAAAAAGGACAAAAATGGAAAATATTTAGCAAACTAATGGCATTTAGTAACTGCTCAATAAAATGAAAATATAACTATCATTACTCTATAAAGGGTTAATCCATGTATGTATAGTAATTCTGTGGTGCAAAAGCATCTTTTGGGTTAGTACAATATAAGGGATATATTGTGTTACATAGGTCAACTAAGTGTCCTAAGAACACAATCAGCTACTATTCAGAGTATTTTCTGCCTATAATCACAGAACATAATTAGAAATTATAATCACATCAAATGAAATTCTGAAAGCAACAAGCCCTACTATGTTCTAAACGTTCCACATTTAACTAAGCTAATGCAGGCATTAATAAGGTTAAATCTGAAAAACCATATTTGTTGAGAAAGGAAGTTTTAATAAACCTTTATGCTTACAAAGACATATACACTGAGGGAAAAAAGATTAAATCACGTACTTCACTGTGCATCTATGTAGGCAGCTGAATGAAGTATTTATTTACATGTACATACCCTAAGGGAAAAAATGTCACTTACCTGTATCGGTGTTTATAACTTAGGGATCCAAACTTGCTGAGTTTCCTAGACAATGAATTTGATTCAGTTTCTGGCATTCTAATTGATTTTAAAAAGAAAAGCAAAGACTCATAAACAGATATTCATATAACATTTGAACATAAAGTTATAGAGAAAACAAGTTATATGCCGCAACACTGCTTCACAGAGGTAAGCTCGTAACAGGAGCACTGCGTAGTTTCTGGCACCCTATGAATAATTTCTCGGGATATGACACCTTGCTATTCCTTCTCGTGCTCTTCCTCTGGCTCCTCTTGTCCTCTAAATGCAAGGAGGACCCAGAGCTCGGTCTTTGGCTTTTTGCTTTGTGCCCTTCTTCATCGTTTCCACAAGTAACTTCATCCAGGCCTTCTGTCTTAAACCTCTGCTACAGTTATATCACCCACCTTCAGCTTGCTGGTGAGCCCTGTATGACCAATACATCTCACTTCACCTTACTACATCTTCACTTAGGTAGATCACAGGTATTTCAAATTTAGTATGTCCACAAAAGAGCACTTCATTTCTCACAATACCACACAGATACAAAATCTGCACTTTTTACATAAAACTAAAAAGAATTACCCCATCATTTTCCATGTATGAGCAAAAATGATGTATCTGTATATATATACGTACATGTACATCTCTGTGTATATGCACGTGTATGTATGTATTAACAAAATCCAGAGAACTAAGGCAACACAAATTAATAAAAGGGAAACACATCTAAATTCCTGTTTGTAGACAGAACAGATTCTTGTTATAAAAACAAGTGCCCTTTTCACGTGTTAGAACAATGAACAAAACTTTCCCAATAACATACCTAAAAAATGTATGATGTTCTACGCTGCATTTCCAGAGATGCTTGCAAGCAGTTTTACTCCGAGCTTCAAAAAAGAATGAAGTTTCATTGCACTGAGAGAGAAAGACAGGAGAGAATGATGAATCACCAGCCCTAACACTCTTCAGCTGGGTAACAGAAATCTAAGAAAGAAAGATTATTAACATATAAAACAAAAAATAAGTATTTCTTGATGACTATTTTTGGATGGTAGCATTAAAATTGCCTTCTAATAATTAAAATCACAAAAAGTAAGTTCTGTTTAAATTTTTATGCAATCTTCATTATCTTCTTTGCTCCTGGACTGTGCAAAATCCAGTAAATGGCAAAAATCCCCTACCATCAATAGCTACTGATCCATGAAAAATATTTGGCTCTGTGAATATCACTCCCCCAAAAAGGAGATGCGCATACATTTAGTCCGTAAGTGTGTTATTTTCAGGACTGTATAGGTCAAAGAATCTCAAGAGAAAGCACAGGGAGTGACCACCACCGCAGTATAATCTTGGCAAATAAGTAACAACTCTGATTCTGCATCGCTATTGGGTAAATCAAACTACTTAATCTGATAAATGTAAGAAGTCACATTATAGGTATACATTAAAATTTAGGCATTATTTTAATCTAGTAGCTTTTCATTCTTTACTATATTTAATATTTGAGAAATTAAGGACACATGAACATTAATCCTAATTTTGCACAAGATACTATTTGCAACAATAAAAAAAAGGAGTAAAATACAATACGAGTGCTGTGGTAATAAACCAGAAGTTCTGTGAAGTTATATAATTGCTAGCATAATTTCAAGTTTAAAAACCAAACTCAAGTCTCAAGTAATGGCTGTGGAATGAGGTTCTTATGGACTCATAAACACAAAATTGTCAGTGCAGAGGACCAATTGAATTGATTTGTCCCCCACTTTTACTAAGGACAGAACATTTATACACATGAAATTCCTCCCAAATCCAAATGGAATGATACTGCTTAACTTAGGAGTTTACTGGTAAAATGAAAGGACATGATTGGAATAAAGCCCTTAGAACAAGGGTAAGTAAGAAATTTAGGTTTCTTAGGATTCTCAGGCTTTTGACTTGGGCGCTACTACTAACATGTAGTTAAGTAAAAAAATTGGGAATCTGGATGGTGAGGAAATGGACACTAAGTTCAGGTTTCGATATTTTGATTTTGAGATACCCGTGGAAAGCGGGCAGTGAGCACTCAGATCAGAGCTCAGGGGAGCAGTCACATCCGTGGACAGGCAGCTCCCTGGAGAGCGAACAAGACAGCTCAGGAAGAGAGTGCAGAATATTAATGGTAGTGTCACAGGAGAGACGCTCGGGAAGGCGCGGCAAGGGGGTCCAAGTGAAGCAGGAGACAGTAGTGTCAGGCTGCGTGACACAGGGCAAGTCTCAAGTGACCCAGAAAGGTCAAACTGGGTTTGAAAGGAGGTTACCACATTTCACGGGGAGAACTCTCGGTGACTTCTGTGAGAAGGGGTAGGGATCACACAATTAGAGATGAGGAAGAAGAGTGAGTGAATTCAGAAGGCGTTTCTCTTAAAAGAAAAGAACCCGGGGCTGAAGGGGCGGAGTGCTGGGGAGGGTGCACAGGACACCACAAAACTCTCTTGGGGGCAGGGTGGGAAAGCCCAGGCTCCTGTCAGGAGGTGGGAGTGCTTAGACAGGAATTTCTTTTTCTTCTATTTTTCTTTTTAGAAGATATAGAGCATATACAAAAGCCAAACATTACCTAGGTGAGCTCACAATGACAACTCAGTCTCACTCCTACAACTGTCCCCAATTCCCTTCTCCAAAAGCTACCAGTATTTCTATCATAAAGGGTGAGTAATTATCCTAAAATATAACACACAGGTCATTCATTTTTAAATGAGCTTGCTCAGGACTGCACTGTCAGGTAAGTTGTTAAGACAAAGGAAGCCAGCGCAGGCTGCCCACCACCCGCTTCCTCAGCACAAACACAGAGGAACCTGGCCAAGTCCCTGCGCCTTTAACAACAGAACCCCTGAGCACAACGGGGCATACAGGGCACCAGTACCTACAAGAAATGGCAGCTGGGACAACTTCCCTGTGATGCAGACACTTCCACAATTTAGCAGAAACATCCACTAGTAAGGTATACTTTAAGTATCTAAGTCAAAATGTCAAGAACTTTTTCAGTTACATGTATTGCAAATTCCAGAAGTGAAAAAGAAATTAAAGACTTAATTTTAAGTCTTAAAGTATTCAGACTTAAAAATAAAATATTATCTCCTCCAAATCTCAAACTTTTCTTAGGCTGGTTTTCATTTTACCCTTCACATTAATGTCTGTATGATTTTACTTTTCAAGTAGAAACCTGGTCACAGGGTATCTAACTCTTAATATACTTTTTAACCACCATGATGAAATGAAATGATAAAAGGCTTGTTTAAATCCAACCAGAATTGAGTTTTTCTCAGGTTTATTAAAAGAACAAGAGTCTCCCAACAGGCCTCCTAATTATTTCTGCCATGCAAGTATGAACTCATTCTCCATTTAAAGAGAGCTTTAAAACAAGCTGCCTATCTTTTATCCCACTATTGGCAGAATGATCCAAATACCAAACGGAGGGTTAACATAATTCAAATGGGAGCCAGGTATTCTGAATAAATTCTATGTACTTCTGCCACATACAGTGACTGCTGGCATGGATGAGTTGGACAGCATTTCAAAGGTCTTTTTCCACCATTTCCCTACTTATTAAACCTTTTCCAAATAGCTAAGGCCAATTAGTGCACTTCCACTCACTCATACAGAGATGAGCAGCTGCTTCATTAAAGAAGTTCATTCTGAGCTAATGCTAAAATATCTTATCCAATGCTTGCTTTTGCAAGATTACCCAAGCATCTTTATAGCTTTGGTCATTTCATGCCAGAAGGAAAGCTATGGTCTTAATCTATTTCTTTTTATTTTACCAACTGCCTGAATTATTTATTTTATAAACAAATCAAGCTTACGTCACTTGTATACTCAGATACAATGTGTATTTAATTGTTCTTTGGGTCTCTGTTCAAAATAGCCTCACATCCTGGATCCCTTCATTTGCAAGAACTCAGGACCTGTACCATGCTGACAAATTTCCAAATCCCTATTCTCCTTGGGCTCGTAATCCATCTCTTCTGTCTGCATCTCTCCCAGTGAGCTTAAAGAAATAGATCGGCTCTGCTTAGCTCCTACGTGTACTGAGGTTACTGAGCGAATCACTGAAGAGCTCACCCACACCGCAAGCAGCAGAGCCACTTAGCCCAGCTTCACCACCTCTCCCAAGCCTATGTTCTTGGCAGAAGACCCTCCCTGCCACACACAGTTCTGTACTGGTTTCTCTGTGTATCTGTTTTGGAAAATAGCCACGGCTTGACAGCCTACCTTCCTCAGGTTCCAGAAATCATGGCAACAAACATCTTCTCAATCCTATTATTAGACACTTATATCATGTCCAAGATCAACAGAAATAACCCAACGTATACTGTTAGGTCTATAATACTTAAGAGCAAAAGCGATTAGTGTTTGTAACAATGGTTAAGACGCAACCATCACATAAATACCTAATGACCTGCGGTGAGGAGGGGGGCTTCCTACCAGTGCTCCACCAGACAAGGGGGAGGACTACAAGTATGAAGATTACAAGTCTAAAGTACTGTCAGATTTTGTACATTAAAAATATAGTGTAGATGATAGATTAGATAGACAGATGATAGATACATAGATAGATAGCAGCAGATAGACACACATGTTCTTGGTAATTGTTACTTCACACACAAAGGGAAAAACAATCAGAGGCCTGATAATAAATGGTTAAAATAACTTTCTTCTTAATTACTGCTAAGGTAAAGGAGGGCACATGATGAAACTAGGGGAAACAAAAGTTACCCTTCAGCTGGAAACAGACACAAAAGAGATACTATAAAATTTTGAAAAAACTGTATCTTTGAATAATTACATTTTTAAAAATTGAAGCTGGGACCCATTTGGGAATGCCCTGTCTCTCAGGAGCTATTCCTATCCCCAGTCCCCATTCCTTTTCTACAATAAATTTTCCTACTCTCAAAAAAATCAAACCTTACTCTTAAATGGGCATGGTGTTTGTTTTATGGTTCTCCTCATAATTCTCACTGCTCTTTTTTCTAGGCATTCTGAGTTCAAATGCAGAGTAAGCCCAGATTTAAAAAAAAAACTTATTACTTGGAACAGAAAGTCAGGAGGAAACATGAAAACACTGAGTATGTATTATCTTATCTGCTCAAGCTTTATCTTTATATAATGCTCCCCAAAGAATGGTTCTTACAGCACCCTTACAGCGTGGCTTAAACGGGCTGCAAGGTCAGAAAAGCAGGAGGAGCACTGGGTTAAGTACTCAAACTTTGTAATGTGCTAATGTGCGCTGTCAGTTGGCCACTAGCTGGCAAATTATTGGGTGGGCTTCCTAGTTAGTTTGAGCAAATAACTCACTTCAGTATAATTTCAAAACCATTATAGTCAGATTATTCTGCTTCCTATTTGAAGGAATTCACTGAAACAAACCTGGAAATCCAGATGGTTTACTTCTGACATTGCTTTCACTCTATCTTTTCCTCCTCTGCTCTTTAGAGAAACTGCAGTATTTCCAAAATGTCAACATTCCTCTCTTGTATGTGCATACTGATAGAATTTTTGTTTTTATTATAATTAATTTATTGCTTCTCGGCCTTTTGGCTAAGATCAAGTGTAGTATTATAATTAATTTTACTCTCAGTTTTATAAATGTTAAAAAATAATATACTGACAATACCATTTAGCTTATTAAAATGAAGGAATACCTGCTAGGATCTGATATTCCTATATTAAATTTTTTATGATAGAATTTTTACTACTTCTGAACAAATGGCCTCTGTGTTTTAATGACAGAGAAACTCAACAAAATATTCCAGCAAGTGAAGCAAAGGAAAATCCATGGGCCTAGGAGACCTGGGCTTCACTTCTGGACCTGGGACAAGCTATCCAACAGTCCCCTGCTATGCAAACCTTCACGGTCTCTGGGGATGTAACACCAAGACAGT